TCATAAGCTTTCTCCATATCCAACTTCAACGCCATAAAACCCACCTTCCCCGTCCGTTTGTGGGATAGATAATGCATAACCTCATGACTAACCAGAACATTCTCAATAATCTGACACCCATGAACGAAACCATTCTGCCGAGGAGAAATGATCTTTGGTAAAATTCTCCCCAACCTCTCAGCCAAAATCTTGGTGATAACCTTGTAGACAAACTGACAGAGACTGATCGGTCACAATTGCCGCATATGCTCCACAGTATCCACTTTAGGAATGAGAGAAATCCACGTATGATTCAAGTTCTTGAGCATAACCCTCGTCCGGAAGAAATCCTCAACCACAAGAATCACATCTCTACCAACAATTGGCCAAAACACGCGGAAGAAAGCACCCGTGAAACCGTCAGAACCAGGAGCTTGGGAGGCACCCATGCTAAACACAGTTCGGCGGATCTCTTCACCCAAAACCGGAGCAAGCAGCTTTGAATTCATCCGGCTGGTGAACATTGTTAAGTAGAAATCCATAGCAACTGCAGATTTACCATGTTCAAACATAACCCACGAACCATCAGGAGCAAATAAACCTCCTATATGATTCTGACGCTGCCTTGCACGAGTGACCGTATGAAAATACTTCGAATTCTTATCCCCTCCATGAAGCCAACTCATCCGCGACTTTTGGCGCCATAAAGTTTCCTCAGCACACCAAACATCCCCAAGCTCCTTCTCCAAGACACGGATCCGCTCCCAATAAACCTGAGCCTCCTCTCGAAGTTGATCAATTTCACTCTGGAGAGACCGGATACGACGCTCAAAATTGTTAACCCCTAATCGCCCCAAAGAATACAGGAGATGGCGCTACATTTTGAGCTTTGACCATAGCCGAAACATCAGAGATCCATTAACACTCTGGTTCCAAATATCCTCCACCATCGCCCAAGCCTCCGGATTTTTTACCCAACGATAGTCAAACCGAAAGAGTGGTCGGCAACGAGAAGCGATGGGTTCAGTGGACAGAAGAATGGCCCTATGGTCCGAGCCCCTAATTATTAAGTGATGAACCAGACTATTGGGGAAGACATCTAACCATTGGAGAGAAGCTAAGGCCCGGTCAAGCCTTTCAAGAACAACACGAGTAGGAACCCTTTTATTTTTCTAAGTAAATGGCGGACCAACAAAATCCACATCCTGAAGCGCTAGATCATCAAGGAACTCACGAAAACGAAGGGTCTGGGCTGGACACCAAGGGCTACCACCCTGCTTATCTGCCGAATAAAGAACATTATTGAAATCACCAATCAATAAAAATTGCTCATCAAATTGGGAACAATGATATTCCAACACATCCAATTGATGGAATCTAACAGAATCCACACAACTCAAATAGACACAAACAACCAAATAGGAAAGATTATTTTTATTAATTCTAGCAATCATAAAGAAAGACTCCTTACATAAAACCGAGACCTGCGTCATGGGGAACCATCCTAAAGCAAGACCCCCAGTTGAACTAACAACATCAACTAAAGCAAAATCTGCAAAACCCAAACTTCTCATATGGCCAGCAACAGTGCGACGTTGAGAGAGTTTCCGAAAGGAAAATAATATCAGGAAGAAAACAATTACTAAGACTAACTAAACTCTGGAATGTCTCGGGCGGTCCCAACCCGCGACAATTCCACGACAAAATCTTCATTTATCGGGCTGGAGCCACTCACGGCTGGCTTCCTCCACCGATTTTACGCCATCCTCACTATCAGGCACACACACGCTTGGGAGGACCCGAGGGATCCTCACCATCCTCCATCACCTCATCCACAGGACGCTTCCTATCAAAGAGTATCTCCTCAAGCTCCCCTAGAGCCATTCTGAAACCATGTTTAGGTCGTGGAGGCGTCGGGCGAGGACTGCTCCCAGCTTCATTGATCACAACACCAGCACCTCGGTTTCGGCGAGGAGGTCGGGAAGGTGAATTAACTTCAAACAACACACATTTCCCTTTCTCAACTGCAGTCAATCTTCCTGGAATATCAGGGACATGAGCACTCGAACCCTCCGTTGGCTTGGTCACAAAACCAACATCTCCACCCAACTCAGTCTGTTGACGAGGTGGAATACTAGAGCTTTCCCCAGTAGGAGGAACCGAAACTCTTGGAACCCCTATAGAAGGTTGTTGTGTAGTCGGCCGAGCATCCCGCTGAGGACGAGGAGGAGGAGGCATACGCTGCTGATCCACCATCAGAACATCCCCTTGGCCAGCAACTCCAGCCCCACCAGCAGCTGAACCAGGCCCACTCACGTTCGGATTCACCCAAATAACTCGAATTGGCAGAAGAGTTTGCTCATCCAGTCGATGACCAGCCGGCTCCACCGAAAGGCCAGCACCATAGACTTCATTACCCTGAAAACAAGCTGCCTCACATTGGCGTTCAGCATGACCAACCCGCCCACAGTTATAACAAAACAAAGGCATTCGCTCATAGTTCAGAGTGACCCACAAACCCCCATGAATTTGGTTACTAGTGTAACACCTCGGTATTTTAGATGTAGGTTCGACCTTAATACGTGATCGGTTGGATTGACGGTTACGTACTAAGAGTTACAATCGCCGATTAAGAATAATAATATTATAACATTAGTATTATTATAACATTATTTGTAAAAAAAGGGAAGCAGAGTGGGGCGGCCAAAGTGGCCACTCAAACCCCATCCCCCATCCCTAATTAACACCCCCCCCCTCCCCTTTAATAATCTCTCCCCACGCAAACCCCATTCCCCAACGCCGACATGAGCAGCAGTCGAGAGGAGAAGGAAAAGGGGAAAAAGTAAAGGAAAAAAAGAAGGAGACACGCCGTTTCTATCAATCCTAATCCCCAAGACCCCAACCCATCCCTTTCGTATTCCTAGAGCTTGCGGTGACGTTTAAGGGTTCAAACATCGATCAACAAGGAGATCAATGTCCCGGGTCATCCAATATAGTCCTAGGCACGTTCTAGAGGTAAGGGAACTTGATCCCTTTGATTTAGATCGATCGATTTGGTGATTTTTCATGAAGATGCAATTCTGGGTTTTTAGCAACAGGCGTTACATGCTTTTAGTGACAGATTTTGGGTGGTCACTAAAGCTGCTGGAATTTCTAGAAACGTATTTTTGGATGTTTTAATTGTTTCGAGTTCTGTGGGGGTTTGTTCGTGTGTTTTAAAATTTTATAAATTGAGGGAGGTCTATGATATGACTGTAATTTAATTTGGGGATTTTCGAAGATGTATTGTTAATTTTAAAAATTGTTCGAACATTCATTTTAATTAAATAAAAATATTTCCGAGGAGTTTATAAGGGTTTGATAATTTTTCCTACAAAAAAAAAGGGTTTGATAATTTTCTAGGGTATAGGTACTCATGATTGATGTAGGAAAATTATAATCCAAATTTTTATGAAGGTTCAAGTTAGGTGAAAAATTCGTCCAAGATAAAAATAATTAAGAAAAATGGTCGTTTTTGAAGGGATTAATTCTAGAAAATTTTAATGGGGGTTAAAGGACCCTTGGAATGAGGTTCAAGGACTGGAGTTTGAGGAGAGGATGTTCTAGTGATTCAAAAGGGGTTTTAAATCAAGAAAGGTCGTCTAAGAAAATGGATTCTTATTAATAGGTTTCTCCAAGATAATCCGGCTAAGGAGGGGTTTCTTCGAGGAAGGAATTGAGGAGTCATCTTTTCGAGGTGAGTGTAAAGGGGGTAAAATCTATGTCATAGGTCTTTTAATTTACGCCTTTTGTTTCAAGTTATATTGAGTTAATTTTTAGTAATGCGCGATATGTGTGTGAGGCATCCCACCGCCTGTAAGGGTGGAGGCACGCGTTGTGCTATGTACGAATGTATGTGATGTTGTATGGTTGATGGTATGAGGAACGCCCGGGTGGTTGAGCCACTACTGGACACGGTAGATGGTCGGATCACTGCAGGACAACGAGACGTAACGCAGCAGTTGATCGAGTATGTTGAGGACACTACTGGGCGGCGAGACGTAACGCAGTAGTTGATGGGCATGGACTGGACAGCGAGACGTAACGCAGTGCCATTGCCGAGTTTGGGTATGCAACCGGACGACGAGACGTAACGCGGTTGGCATACTCGGGTAGGACACCGGACGACGAGACGTAACGCGGTGGTCCTAGTGTTTTGTGTTTGAGTTAAGGATAGAAGGCGAGCACTCTTAGGAGTTAATGTTGAAATGAGTTGATAAGGATGATTATTTAAGAGCAGAAAGCGAGAACGGCTTTCATGCTAGGAAGAAAACTCTAATAATGTGTTTAGTAAGGAGTTTGCCTAGGGCAAAGACCTTAGGAAGTAACGACGAGACTGACCCCATCTCACTCACCAGGTTGAGGATAGTCTAGCAGAAGTGGATCACGAGAAGAGGCCGGGCGAGGCGAGCAACAGTACCAGCATCGACGGGATATCGGAGAGCTCGTGAGAAGTCAAGTTAGATTAGTTAATTATTCTGTTTCATGGTTATAAGTATAAACTGGAGATTCTGTGTTAAGTCGTTTTTAAGTGTGAGATTGAGAATTTTGCCCAAGTGTTGGGGCCTTTCGTTAAAAATTCTTAAATGATGTCAGTTGTTTATTTTGAAACCTGTTTTGGGTTGCTCCGGAGTAACCGATTTTTGGTTTGAGTTATGGTTGGTTTTTGAAAAGAGACGGGATGTGTCAACTAGCATACAACCTGGACCGAAGGGGATCTTCCAAATCAACCTGAATTCGAGCTTTAAAAAAGAACCCAGACTCACCATGAATCCCAAATAAACCAGCCTCCAAAACTTCACCAACACGCCCAGCCATACGCCTTCTGAACCGCATTGTCCTGCAATGAGCAGGGATGTCGCGCATTTGGACCCAGAACGGAATAAACGCAAAAGACCTCACCACCTCCGGAGTGACAGGACGCCATCTGACAAATGCAAGACATGATCTTTGATAATCCATGGGGAACGCTCAAGAATGCGTTCCCTATCACCAGCATCAAAGAACAGGAACTGTAACAGCCCACGATCATCTTCCAACACATGAACTGGAGCTTGACACCGCCACAGGCCATTCACAATACGTTGGAAAATGACTCGATTAGGAGTAGCTTCACTGAAAAAAACGACCAAGCAGACTGAGTCGGACACGCTCCAAACTTTTCTCAACATCATTATACTCAAACATCACCACTTGATCAACATCCATGGGATCCATGATGGCTAGCTGTAGTGATTCACTTCGAATCTGGAAAAACTGAAACCACAAACACACCCAATAAGCCAAACACAAAAAACCAGGGCAGCCCCAATAAAAAAGAGACCACAATCGACTCCGAGCAGTAAGGAAGCCAAACAACCCAAAAAACCGAAATAGAAAAGAGCCACGCACCCAACGAAAGATGGAGAAGAGGAATCCAAGCAAAAGTCTGATAAAAGACACCATCCCATCCAAACTCCCGGAGATTTATAAGAAAGGCTTGAAAGCCTAACCTCCACACTGGTAGATAAGGGCTCCCTCTCGACTGCCGAATCAGATCGGATCCCAACCAAATCTGAAATCGCGAAATCCATGCAATCGAGGATATCACCTAGAGCCGCACGAAACCAGGCAAGCAAGATAAGAGAAGACGTATCTTTTGAAAAAGACCGACGAAAGACAGCCACACTCTTGCCAACAAACGGCAGGCATAAGGAAATGTAGCAACAGATCCCCACCAACAGAAATCTGATCTGGATACAGATCGTACAGTTTTGCCAGAACAAAGGCACGATTAACCCGGATCTGGGTGCGATCTCACCAATAGAGATCATGATGAAAACAAGTAACAACCCAAGAATCGCAAAATGAGAAGAAGCAGTGGGTGGCCGCATCAAAACCCTAGACCCGCAGAGATGATCTCGCAGACGTTTTTTTTGTTTTTGTTGTTTCATTTCAAGATCTTCTCTCAGATTTTTTATGATGTTTTTAATCCTTATACTAAGAATTATAAATAACGTCCATTATTAATTTTTAGGAATATCATTAATAATGTTTATAATGTTACACTTTATGTTAATAATAATGTCGTCGATATCCAAAAATATTAATGATGATGGTTGTACATTGTTAATGATACTTTATATGAAAGTTCGTAACGTTATGTTAAAGTGTTAACAATTGTCTAAAAAATGTCAATAGTCTATTTACGGATCATTGATAACAGAGAATAATTGAGGTAGAAAAATGATGACATATCATTAAATCTAAGTTTGTAAATTAATATGAAATTAGTTACTATGACGTTCATTATTAAAACCACTAAAGTATGCTAAAAAGTTGATAATTTTGTTTTAACAACATTATTAAATTTTGAGAAGAGAGTTATTAATAACATTTACTATGGTTATTAACCAGTTATATGCGGTAATTATCAATCATTTTGTTTGTATTTTCAATGCAACACACCTTAGTTATTAATGATTTAGATTGTCGTTATCAATGTTTTGCTTAATGTTTGTGATCTATAATGACACGAACTCCTCTACACAATAAATAAAAGCCGAATAGAAAAACCGCAGGCCCCATTTTAAATTTCCTGGATGGAGAGCGTTTGTAGGAGGGGTAGTTTGGGAAAGGTGAATTTTTTTCTCTGCCTCTTCTGCGCGGGCGTACAGAACAGATTCAAAGAAAACCAGGGTTGCACCTGTCCTCAACTTGAACGGGCCAAAAAACTAAGTCGGCCCAGTTAGACAGAACTACCCCACGTCGTTGAAAACTTCCCACCTGCCACCACTCTGTCTCGGCTCACACGTGGTTATTTCCTCTCCTCGCACCTTCCCTTATGTACAAGGAATCTTCAAACTGTACAACCCCCGAAGACCACGTTCAATCATCCTGACCTCAAACCTACTCCCTCGATCGTAGAAAGAACACTAACAGCTGGGGTATTGCTTCTTCAATTGCAGGAGCAACAACTATTCTTGTGGGGCGGTCATGAAGCAATTCCACCGGTTGTGTTGATCCGAACTTCCTGCATCCGATTGCAGAAATAGTTGTGGGTAGAGGTCCGACACTCATAAAGGTAATTCCTTTCTGCTGTGATACATGTATTGGGTTTCCTGTTCTTGCTATCGCAGTGCAGTAGCCTAATCTATGTTTTGTTCTTCACTGGCTTGCTAATGGCGGTAGGCATTGATTGCTTCTTCTTTATTGGCGGTCCTTCAGGTGAGTTATATTTATGGTTTTTATTTTGCGAATTTATGGTTGGTTGCTGGTGGATTTTTGCCATTCTTAATTGGAGGAGGATGAAGAAGAGATGGTGGTAGGAGAGTGATTTTGCATCCCAACTCTTTCTACCATTTACGATTTGTGACTTCCATCTGCTTCTATTGACATTCAAAACTGATTTACTTGAACCGGACCCTATAGTTAAACGTGAGTCTAATAACGGTTGTACGCTCACAAACGTCCAAAATTTTGTCTTCGTTATCAGGTGAATGAGTTGTGTTGTCCTTATTATTCAGGTACAAGGGTTAGAAGTATGAATGTGACTGCATCACTCAATAACCGGCTTCTGGATTCGTTGCATCCGTGTATGTATAGTGGCATCTATGAGACTGTAGTTAGTGTTGCAATATAAATACAATAGTTCACTAAATGTTATCTGTCTCAGGGAAATGTCGGGCATTATTTTACGATCCACAAGATGAGGGGCAGCGCTTTCTCCTAACTGCCGAGGAAGAAGCAATGTTCGAAAAGGGTATGGATGAATACATACTCCATTCACAATTTATCTTTTATTTATAAAATGTATAATGTAAAATTTGTTGTTAATTGTAATATGTAGAACAAGATGAGTTGAAAGGTGAACTGAATGCCCTGTCTAGATCCCTGTCACAACTGGCACGACAGCGAAGACATGTCATTTTAAAAGGGAAAAGAAGTCTTAGGTCAATCAATGTCCGGGATAAACATATGCAGCAATGTACTGGTCGGTGGTTGTTGTTACTTTATAATCTAAAATGCAATTATATTCCACTAATTTTAAGTGTATTTCTAATGTCTTAGGTCCTACGCGGTTGGAGAATGAGTTTGTTAATCTATTGACTAAACGGAATAGATTGTACCGGCGTATTCATTTGGCACAGAAGCGTAGACGTCAAGCCGTCTTAAAAAATCGGTCCAATCACAGTATGTGTTGTATATGGGCTAATCTCCGAGTTTATTTACGTTATTTTTATGTAATTTTTTGTGAATTGCACATTCTTTTTCCATATGTTTTGGATAAATATAATATTACTACCAATTTTTTTATTTTTTGCATTATGAATTTATTTAAGGTTCAATGTATATTTGGCATTATCAAAGGGCAAACATATAATATTCGTTTGGTCATTGTAATTGTTGTGGCACAATGTATCATCGTAGTGATTTCTATTTGAGTAGCTGTGTGCATTAGCATTGTGGATCTCAAATTTTTTTTATAATAGCTTTGTTTTTGTTACTATTTTGAAAATGAATGTTTATTAATTACTTTTTCTGTATGTATATCATGTTTAAATTATACAAGGGACTGTAATTAATTATGTATTCCCATTTTAGGGAAAGTTAATGTATAATTCTTCTTATCTTATATAGCCTGGTTCTCACTCTAATTTATGTGGCGTAGACTTTATCAAATTTTATTTCCTATATGGACCTTTTCTAATATGTATCATCATGATATTTTCATGATGCCATAAGTTATGATGTTGACTAAATATTTATATTGTTATAGGTATTCCAATAATTGAGTCTTTCAATATTGGAGCGCCCTCATGTAGATGTCAATATTGTGGTGCTGTATTTTGGCGTTATGAGAGCACTTTGGCCACACAGAATGATTTGTTTCCTTCATTTCCAATACGTTGTAAGCATGGTAAGGTGAAGCTTCCGAATCGTAGAGATCCTCCTCAATTTCGTGCAAACAATCGAGGTTATAATGCTGTTTTTTGTTTTATTTCCATCGGCGGAAAAGTTAATCACTCCATTAACGATGGGAAAGGTGTCTATGTGTATTCCATTGGAGGGCAAATTTATCATCGAATTGGCAGTTTGGTTCCTCCAGAAGGCGTTAGTCCAAAATTTGCACAATTATATATTCATGACTCGGATAATGAAGTGCAGAATCGCTTGGACTTTTACTCATCTGATCCTGATAGGAATCCCTTACGGGCATCTATTGTTCAAGGTCTTCAACAAATGTTTGATGCCTCTAATGTTCTGGTACGTACTTTTCGTTCAGCACGAGATAAGATAGGCCAATATGGTGTTGATGAACTGCAGGTTAAATTATTGGCCAAGCGGGAGGCTAATAGTAGGGAATATGATTTGCCCTCTGCAAATGAGATTGCAGCGTTGATTGTAGATGAAACTGAGGATGAAACATTCTCCCCTGATAAAATAGTTCAGCATTGTACATCTCAGATGGAAAGAATAAGCATGTACCATCCCAGTCTAATGGCTTTGCAATGTCCAATTTTATTTCCATATGGAGAAGATGGGTGGCACCCAAGTATTAGTTATGCTCAGAATACATATGGGAAAAGTGGTTTGGAGAAAATGGTGACACAAGGTGTGGTGAATCAAATTCTTTGTTGCTATCTGCAAAATTGTTTCAACAATATGTCGTTAATGCATATGCTTTAATTGAGGCTGAACGTTTGGATTGGATGCGTAACAATCAGTCCAAGTTGAGAGGCCACCATTACCAAGGGTTGGTAGAATCTTATTTGCGTGGTGATAGTGATCTGAAGTTATCTGGATAGCCGGTTATTCTAGCTGCTACCCACACTGGAAGTCCAAGATACAAATATGAAAATTTCCAAGATGTTATGGCCATTTGCAAATGGATTGGATATCCAGATTTGTTTATTACCTTCACCTGTAATGCGAAGTGGCCTGAGATTCAGCTTATGATTGATTTGATTAGGGACTTCACTGGGTAGGATCCTAATCGTGCCGATGTTATAGCAAGAGTTTTCAAGATTAAATTGGATGAATTCATGACGGAGATCAAGGATAAAGAAATTTTTGGAAAAATACGTGCATGTATGTATCCTGCTTATAGTATCTTATATCTTCTAATCTTTCTTCATTAACAATTTGATTAATTTTTCTAATTATTGTTTGTAAATGTTAACAGATGTTTTGGCAAAAACGTGGACTCCCTCACGCACACATACTCCTATTTCTTGCGGCTGAGAATAAGCCTCATGGACCTTCTGACATTGATTTTATAATATGTGCCGAAATCCCAAATCCTGATCTGGATCCTGAATTGTATACAATAGTCACGACCTCTATGATGCATGGACCATGCGGTGCCTTACGGCCCAACAATTCATGCATGAAGAATGGTAAATGTTCTAAACATTACCCAAAGCAATTTTGCAGTCAGACTATAATCGATGATAACGGTTTTGCCAAATACCGTCGACGCAATAATGGTAGGACATTTAACTGTGGAGGTGTGGAACTTGACAATCGATGGGTTGTTCCGTATAATCGATACTTGCCACTACAACAAATTTGGTCTATAGTGACAGGTTACCTTTGTCATAATAGTCTCCGATTTTGTCACCACAATCCTATTGTGACAAAGATTGTGACAAACATGGTTTGTTAAAAGAACCCCGTGGTAATAGATCTATTTTGACAAAAATAATCTTAGTTTGTCACAAGAGGGATAAGTTTCTTGTAACGAAAACCTTTTGTCATAATAGAACATTCTTGTGATAAACATTTTTGTCACAAATAGTTACTATTTTATCAGATTTAAATAACCGTTTTGTCATTAGACATGTTAGTTTGAGGTTATGTTGTGACAAACATGTATAACATGACAAGTCATTTTGTCATTAATATTTGTCACAATTACAAATTTGTCATAAGAGATAATATTTTGTAACTTTATTATGACAAATAGCATTGTCACAATCTAGTTATTAATTGCAGATTTAGTCATTTTTCACATAATTCATAATTAAATTATGAATTACACATTCGTCACATTTCATTACATGTGAAAAAGTTTGTTGTCACCATAACATTATAGTAACAAAACCGAATTCGTCACAACTTCATATTATGATGTCAAGAATGACAAAAGCTCTTTGTCACCATTGATGTTACTATGACAAGAAGCATTTTGTCAAATTAATGATTTTAATTCAAAATTGAGCTTATGACAAATTAATTCTGCCACAATGAATTGTTGTCACAATGTGGTTTATGTGGATGAAAGCGTTTGTCATTATGTAGTGGTAGATATGCTTTCGTTGTATACTTTGCTAGAAAACAAACATTTCATTATAATATCAAATAGCCAATCATCGTCTGAAATGGGTAGCATAGTATGTAAACCACCACTAACTCCAAATACTTTTGACTAAACACCTTGAGTACTTACTAGTTTAGTACGACAAAAAGAAGTTCTTGAAATGAACAATGATCATGGTGTTCCACAACTAATCCTTCACCTAGAATTCTTCATATCTTCTCAAGGCACTAAATCCCTATATGCAAAGATCACCTGTGAAGAAAGCAAAAGTATATGAGTTTCTGCATTAAGTAAGATGCAGTATGACCCATATTTAGAAAAAGTATTACAGCTGCTGGAACAAAATCCAGCACAAGACACAAAGGAGAAAAACAAAAAAGGTGACAGTGGAAGCAACAGAAAGAAAGCAATAGAAGAAGAGGATCACTAGATGCCTCTATTGCATATAAAACTTGAATAAATAAGTTGTCAGCTTAAAAAGTGCAGGGAATAAATTTATAGTAACGAAACGAAGAAGGGTTAGAGCAATAAGAAAGTTGGTTGTTACCTTGTACTAAGAGAATCAGCTTCTGCTAACATCATTCATTTTGGCAGCCAACTCAAGAACAGTAGCTTGAAGGCGATTGTGTGATTCTTCCATCGCCTCAAACTTATTGTCTTGACTTTGTATCTTTTGTTGTTGGATTTCAATCTGCTCCTCAAACTGTTTGCTTCGTCTTTCAAAACTCTCCTTTTCAGCTTGCCTTTGTGCTCTCTCGGCTTGCAATTCTGCTTCAAGCTGCACCTCCCGAGCCGTACGCTTTATGTTCCGAGCATAGGTAGGCTTTTTCTTCAGTACCTTCTCAACAATCTCACCACCAGACACTTCAGTTCCATCTTGTATGGCTTGATTACGGAGATCAGTCATATCTTCCTACAAATTAAGAATACAGTTTGTTTTCAAATGAATGAATGATGATTAACTATTAACGAAAATTAAAATAACAAACAAGATAGCAACAGTAGTATGAAACACACATGCAATACTTCCCCGTATCAAATTAATGTTTTTTCGTATTAATTCAATTATTTTATTTAACGCCAATCTACCCCAAACTTATCTAACTACACTATTATACTAACAGGACATCCAACAAAATGGAGTTTTCCAAGAGGCCACATGTTATAAATTGGCACAACATTGCTTTATTTGATTTAAACCTATCACGTTGGTTTGTGTTAATGACAGTTCTAATTTATGTTCTTAGTTGAAGAGATTCTTACATAATTTTTCTTGGTAGCTGGATTAATCCATTCTCCATTGCGCTTCTTATGTGTGTCAGAATACACCCGCAATTCTGGTGGCTCTTCCTCTGCTGCGTTGTTCTGCTCCACATCATTGTCAGTGCTATCTTGTTGCACCTCCTTGTTGTTCTATTCAACAAGCAAACAAGAACATAATAATTTAGTAGAAGTAATAAATAATTTCATTTCTCCAATGAATTTGATAAACAAATTTTGACAGTGGTTACCAATTCATATAACCTTTGACTCTGTGACTTAGCACCTGTAGTATGAGGATTTTGCACCATGGCTCTGTTTTGTACATTAGCTGCACTTTGCTTCTGCAATAACAACATCGTTAGAGTATGTGATTATATAAGTTTAACATGTGCCATATATTGTGAGAAAGTTTACCTTGAAAGCAGGGCCATCAAAATGGTCACACAATAACTTCCAGTCATCATTATTCAATGTTTCCATAGGGTTCTCACGTGCTTTAATAGGATCAGTCTCTTCCTTGTAATGCAAATGACAGTTGTACTTGAACTGCCTAAACCGAGCCGCCATAATGCGATCCACCATATTTTTTACATATGGGACACTCATGTCTATATCAAACTCACTCTAACATATTGGATTAAGATAAGAAGAAGGCATTGAAAATCAATGTTAGTTTAAATGGAAGTGGACAAACAAAGCAGAAAGTAGATTAACCACTATCACAATAAAGTCATTCAATATCTATTTCTTGTATTAATCTGTATATCACTAAATATTAGTCATGTTGGTTATGTTGTCTTACTAATCAATAACCACAACATTTGAGGGTTAGAAGCAAAAACAAAACAGTTCAGCTAGCATGTTATTTAATTCAAAGAAAATCAAAGATCAAGTGAGCAGAGCACCTCTATTTTTGCAAAGAGGGGAATCTTCTCTTCAGTAGTAACTTCTTTCCAGAAAAACTTCCTAATTGGAGCTAGTACTCGCACAACAACCCCCATCTCCATCTTCATTAGCTTCTCATTAATGCCAACTGGTGCTTTAGCTCCTTCTTCAATGATTATTCCGCCAATTCTGTTCCCTTCTTCTAAGCGGCGTTTTACTGCATACCCTTTGGTCTTGCCACGCTTATTTCTCTTAGAAGCTCCTTTGAATTGTTAAAAAAATAGTGTCAAGCTATGGTCGATGAATGATAAAAACTTTGGCGGGCAAGGGGAGGGGTATAAGGGCAAAACAAAACCTGTATGTGCTTCATCCATATTAACTTGTTGAACTTCTGATGGTGTCTGGTCTACATTATTGACATTTTGTTGGGACTGTGCTGAGGAATTGTTTATGGTGGTGTCCCCTTCTGAATTATTTCCAGATTCCAATACAGTCCTAGATCTTGTCAATCTAGTTGCAGCACTCCCATTGTGGTTTGTCGCAGGTCTCTTACGAGCAGGCCCCATGTCTATGAACAAGCATATAACAATAATAATACTTGTGAGAGAGGTACAGTTAATAAGCCATGGTGACTGAGTAAAGTCAATTCCAGGTTTCTCTGTGGGCAGGCTGATTCTTAATTCCCCACCAATTAAGATCACCATCTTCTTGAAGCATACTAAGCAACGAAACAACAAACTTTCCAAGGATCCATCATGCATACAATATAGAAGGACAGAATGCAAGATTTTGATAGAAAAGTATAATAACAACACATGCATGGATTGTTCATGAAACTTCCAAGTCAGTTTCGAAATGTCACAAAGATAATAAAAGCCAAACCATGGAGACAACACTCTCCCACAGCACACTCTACTCCAAATTGAACATCATAAACCCCACCGAAGATGCCTTGTAGGGTTCTTGTTTATTATTATTACCTAATAAAGCTTGATTGCAGGTGCTCCCACAACACACTCTACCCAAAATTGAACATCATAAACCCCACCGAAGATACCCTGCAGAGCTCTTGTTTATTATTATTACCTAATTAAGCTTGATTGAGGGTGCTTGTTTATTATTATTACCACAACAAACACATGCAACCCACAGTAGAAATCGAAGTAACAGGGGAGGATACGGTAATGGAAGAGGAAAGATACCTTCGTCGGAAGCTGAACACACGCGGTTGAGAAAGCTGCTCGAGATCTTACTTCCGTCGAAACTTGGAATCTGGGAAGCAAGGGTTGGAACGATCGTGGAGCTAGGTTTTTATCGAGGTCGTGGAAAAAGTGTAGAGGAAATCGGGGATTGGGAGGGAAAACCAAAAGTTTCATAGCGGGAAACAAAAATGAGAATTGGAATATCCCCCAATATCATTTAGGAAAAGATTAGGGGAAAAAATCCGGAACTTTTTTTTCTTCTGTTCTCATAGATATTTAGGGTCGTTAATGAACCGAGCCATTCATGAACGACTCGGCGTACGATTCGAGAAAAACTCGTTCGACACTCAATTCGTATTAATCGAGACGGCTCACGAACAAGCTCGTTAACTAAACGAACCAAATTCGAGTCATACCATGTTCAGCTCGAAAGCTCGCGAACAAGTTTATTTAATGGTTTGGGATAAAAAATGATTAGAATTCATGGATTTTATGCATTGAAATTGAGATAAATATTGGGTTTTATTTTGCTAGACTTTGCTACAGGTTTGAATGTAATTTTGTGCTAAGTTCTAGGGAGCTATTATGAACATTTATGAACTGAACTCGATTTTGAGCTCGTTAAACTTATTTGACGAGACGAGCTCGAGATTTCATTTTCATAAATGAGTCGACCTCGAGCTTGCATATTAAAGCTCGTGACGAACACGAGCCGAGCTTGAGCTTGGAAATATATTTAGAGCCGAGCCCGAACTATGACAAAGCTCAGCTCGGCTCGAATCATTAACAACCCTATAGATAACCAAGAGGGAAAACCAAATACACAAACACAAAAAAGCATGAAACTTCTAATTTTAATTGTCGTCATTAATCTAATATGATGGTATAATGTAGAATCACAACTAATCCATGCATTACACTAAGCTCTAGACCTTCAAATTCAAGTAAACTAAGAAATACAATATATTAGCCATAACTATTAAGTAGCGGAGAATTATAGCCATAATTATCGAAATACAAATTATTAGCCATAACTATTGTTGCGGGTCAAGATTTGGCTAACAGCCCGTTACTATTTTTTAATTTTTCACGAAGAAGGCCATGCCAGAATGGTAAAAAAATATGATATGATGACTACCACGTGGGAGCCAGCTCAGCTTCGTAAAAGCTTAGTCATCATTACTAACAGAAGTGTTAACGAAGACTTAACGGTTGGCTAATAATTTGTGTTTCGATAGTTGTGGCTATAATTCCCCGCTTCTTAATAGTTATGGCTAATATATTGTATTTACCCTTATAAATTTTATACTTGCTTTCTATTCTCATTTTTCAACCTAGTTGTCGACTTTACGTGGTCCCCTACCGACTGGCACTGTAATTTTTAATTTGAATTAAAATTGTGATTTCTTTTGTGAGAAGGTTTGAATGATTTATTAGATATTTTGGTGATGACATGAATTTAAAATTATTTATGGTCAATGATAACTTCTTTTTTAAATTAGTGTAATATACAAGTCTTGTATATTATATATCATGAATGGTTCTAATTCATATTGTTTTTATATGCATTGCGTCATTAACTTATTTTCACTTTTTGTTTTTTGCTTGCGGCTTTAATTAAATAAACCTTAATTATAATTTTAACCGGGGAAGAAACTTCATATTTAGAGAATGCCATAGATTTATTTTAGAAAGACTAAGCACATGGAGATGGTGCTATTATGGTTTCTAATTCAATAAGCTGTGTCACTCAATCCGTAATAGCAATTTTGTCTCATGCGAATTAATAATGATATATTTGCAAAGATTTAATTTAATTCAGTTCTTAATGTTTCAAAATGATTTGAGAGTTGAATTCAATTCAATTTAATTTTAAATATTATAATATTATGGGAAAAAGGCACAGGTCCAACCACTTTTGAATTTTGTCTCCAATGGTATCTGCCACTTAATGTAAATATGTGTAAAATTTGCCCAAACTAACATCTACCACAAATAACTATTTGTATAATCATTATGAATCATCTTCTGTTCGGTTAGGGAGGGAAAGTACAAAGCACATCTGCAAGGCACAACTAATTATATACATTAGTATCATGAATCTACTTCTATATTGTTAGGATGGGGAGCAGAAGGCAAACCTGCAATGCAGAACTAAATATACAGATTACCATTATGAATCTATTTATGTATTGTTTGGTGGGAAAGTACACGCAAACCTGCAAGGTGGAGATGCATACATAATATCCCACTTAAGAAGTTATATTAAACAACAGTATATGAAGTCTGATGATTTGCACCCTGCAATCAGAACCTTCTATGCAAATCATTACTCAAATGCGCAATATTGTCTACAGACAGAGGAAAAAACAGAAAGCAATTTAATAGTCATCTTCCTCATCATCAACATCAATGCTACCATAGTCAACTAGTGTATCATCCTCCTCCTCATCGGTCGTGTCTACACTCTCAATTGCATCTTCTGTTTGAACTTCGAGTACTACCATGGTGTCACCAGCAGCGACCAAAGTTGGAGATTCACCTTCACGTGCCAACGATTCTATGGGTTGGTCCTGTATCTGAACTTCTGTTGCATTGACGCTCCCATCTTGTTGGTATGGCTCATGGTCATACATTGGGTCTATGTCTTCAAGTTGCTCTGGCACATCATACACATGCCTAGGATGTACTTTCACTACCACGTGCCAATTACCCCCATTTTTAATATCACTAATGTAAAATACTTGGTTGGCTTGAGAAGCCAGTATGTAAGGTTCATCTATATACCATTTCTTACTCATATTAACACTAGTGAGGTAGCTGTCTAACTTTATCCCGTTTCTTCTATCCCCAACATCAAACCAATCACACTTAAACAAGAAAACCTGACAACCATAGCAATATTGAACCCGAATGATGTCCACGAGAACACCATAAAAGTCAATAATTTCTGATTTGTGATCACCTTCAACTACAATCCCGCTATTCTGAGTATGATGGCCCTTTTCATGCTGAACAGTATGATATCTAACCCCATTACTAATTAGGCCAGCATATCTAGTAACTCTCTCATCAGGACCTAACCCCAAACTATATAAGTGGTCAGTTTTTTTAATTTGTCCATTCATATACAGTCTAGAAACCTACAGAACAAACAATAGAAAGAGGTCAAACATGAAACAAGAAAAATCCCTTAAAGAATAACAAACTAAAAAAAGGTCATACATGTAACAGGAGAAATGATTCTTACATGTTGTTTGAACCAAGATGGAAAGTCAGCTTGCAAATCTGCTTCTGTACCATAAGGATTCTGCTTCAAAAATCCATCTTTATGCATGCTGTAACATATTCATAAACCTGAGAGTTAACAAAAAGTAACCCTGCATTTGTTCAATGAACTGAAACGTGATTTCAATAATGACACTTACTCAAAATATTGTTCTATATCTTCACAATTATTCAATATATACCATTGAATCTTAGTAAACTCAGAGGGGGATAATTTCTCAGGAGTACCACCTCCTAAAGTTCTGGCTCTTTCGTTAAATAGTATGAAACCTTCGAAATTTGGTTCAGGGCCATCATCGTGTCTATCTACACGATTAGTTGTCGTTTCAACCCCTTGCAAATACCTACTACAAAAATTAAGGCACTCCTTTGCTATGTACGATTCAGCAATGGATCCTTCGGGATGAGCTTTATTTCGTACAAATTTTTTCAAAGTTCCCAGATACCTATGCAAGTTTACAAACAGATTAAACAAAGTGAACTAAATATGAAAAATCTGGTTACAAAACGATAGTAATATAATTTAGGAATTTTGTAAAAGTTCTAGGATTACCTTTCCATAGGATACATCCATCTATATTGAACTGGCCCGCCAAGTTCTATCTCACGTGGTAGGTGTATTGCTAGATGTATCATGACAACAAAGAAGTTTGGTGGGTATAACATCTCAAGCTTGCAGAGGATCAGAATTATGTCATTGCTCAATTTGTTCACAACATACTTTTCTATTGTCTTTGAACAAAGATCCTTAAAATAGCCACTTAGTTCTGCTAGAACAGGATACACATCTTCCCGCAACAAACCTTGAGCAACAATAGGAAGAAGTCGTTGCATGAATATATGATGGTCATGACTTTTCATTCCATAAATTTTACTATCATCAGTAGTCACACATCGAGAAATGTTTGAGGCATAAGAATCTGGAAATTTGAGAGTTTTCAACCATTCGCACAATTTCCTTCGATCTGCCACCTTTAAAGTATAACAAGCAGGTGGCATAAAGACTTTACCATCATCCCTCTGTAAATGTAACTCCTTTCTAATACCCATAAGCTCTAAATCCTTACGAGCATTAA